CTGTACAATTCATGTCTCAGTTCATTTTCAATTGGGCAGAAGAATCTTTGTTCATCCACAAGCTGTATCAATTTCAAGTATTTCATAAAATATTCTGGGTTTAGAGAAGGACATCAAATAAATTAGCATATTACCAATTCCTAATTACCTGCCTCTGCCTCTTCCAAAGAAGGTCTTTTCTGCTCTTGACTGGGGTTGAGTCATCTTATGAGAATCTCTAGAAACCAAATAAAAATACTTTATAGCGCACAATAGAATTGTGCTTTTCATAAAAATTATACATTCACCAGTTGGTGATTTGTGTTTAAAGCAACACAATGCCCTTGAGGGCAAAGCTGTGTCTGTTATCACATAATCCAGTGTTGTAAAATACAGAGAATGATCCATTTGTAATGTGAAACAACTGAAATGTCTGCTAGATTTGTTTAAATGACATGGTCAGAGTTCTGTGGTGACCCTGGAAAGATGAGCCAGAGAAAGAGAACATCAAATAAATCAGCAATGCCCTCAAAACCCAGAGGAGCAATGATATGACAAAAATATTCATACGGTAACTGGTGAAGTTGCTCCATAGTAAGTTTGCCCCTATCACCTTTGTAAATTTTTGTAATTTGTAAATCTTTGTAATCTGAATTGCAAAACATGTACAGATAATAATATTAACATGAACAAAGGTTACACTTTCAACTAAACTAAGTCAAGTGGCTTGCCTTGTCAGGGTCTAAGTTGGTAGAGACTTACAACTTTCAATAACTAGAAGTGTTTGCCAAAATGTTTTCATGCAATGCTGTTGAAGTTTTTGGTCCAAGGGGGAAATTTGAAGGTAGGATGAAGTCACCAGTTCTTAGAAACTGTTGCAAACCAAATCACAATTGCATTAAACCTGTTAGATTAAGACTGGAGTTGTGGCAGATTAGCATTATTCATGCATTGTTGTGCACTTTAACATGGTTTGGAATTTGCATATTGATTGAAACTTTTTGAGGGTTATATTATACATTCTGTGGTAGGGAAACAAGTCAAAAGATTTGGGGGTGAAGTGTGTGGTAAGGGTGGGGTGGGCTTGTTTCACATTATGGGGCTAACTCACAAAGGTGTTATAGGGCAAACTTGCAGTGAAACGGATTCACCTATAAACCTATTAAAAAATATATCCTAGAATACATACAAAACTGAAGGGGGATCAGATAATGACAAAAACTTAAGTTTATTTGATAATTGTTGAGTCACTTTAGAGCAATGCCTTAGTAACGTATGTTCCTTTAACTCTTAAGATCTGATAGACAAATCCTTTCCTCCATGCAAGCTGCTATACATTTGTTATAAATTTGTTATAAGAATTTGTTTTAACATTAAGGGGTCAACCTCCAGCTAAAAGGCATGAATTTTTTAAAAAATAGGTACTCATTGCAAGGAGGACATAACAATTCTGCAAAGAGACATGACCCATTAAAATCTCATCACAGCTCATGTCTTTGTTTGGTATTTGCTCTGGCATACCCTTCCATGGGTGAGCTTTCAAAGTCAAAATACATTGCATATCTTGTTTGCCAACTGAGTTTATTTCATAGAATACATTGTGTTCTCCTTTATTTTAAACACAACAGATAGAAGAAATTTTCAAAAAAGCAGAAAAACCTGTTACTAGTTGAATTTTTGAGAATTCCAAGTGATTTCAGATGGTAATAAGAGGTAGTATACTAATAAACAGTTAATTTTACTCGTCATCATCTGAAAAGGAGAACACTAAGAATACCTTTTAGAGGTGAAGTAGACCACAATCCTTCTCTGTCTCCCCTGCCCAACTGACACTGTCTGAAGTCTAGAACTTTTCCCTACAAGCTGGTGAATAAGGAAGCGATAGTGAGCATCCAATGGAGGGAAGACAAGAACACTGTTATCTCGGAGTCCACAAGAATTACAAAACTTTGTTATTTCTTCCTCTGCTTGCTCCAGGAATTTTTGTTCAATGGCTGATTTGTATCGTCCATGGAAGTGGCACACCATTGGACATTTTACCCTCTTGTCTACCTAGAAAGTAGATTAAAGTATATCACACACAAACTCTCCCTGTAATTTTGGAGCCTCCTTGTTCTCAATAACCTGTAAAAGCAAAATGATCATGTAGTCTAACAGTATAATGAGATTATCCCATGAAGTCAAGCCATGCAGCTCACAACTGGATCTGTTCATTGCAAGACCAAACACTGAAGCCCTTAAAAAGTTTTCGGTTTAGCGGAAAAACCCCAATAAATGAGGCTAAACAGGCCACTTGTCAAAGCAACTTTTATTCAATAATAAATTGAATAGAATCTTTTGCAATATATTTTAATGTAAATTTTTTAGGCAAATGAAGTCTTTAACTAATGATAATTAGAGTGCTATTTCACTAATCGTAGTTGTAGAGCACGGCTCCTTGGTAGAGCATTTAGTGATGATAGATACCGTGGGTAAATAAAGTTTCTATTCATTCAGTCTGATTCTTGTCGCTCGCATTGCTTTTTTCTCATAATTATAGGTAAAATCCCCGAGATATCCACGAGAAAAACTGAAATCAATTCCCACCCAAAACTTTACAGTAAAAATATCACAATAAGCTTCAAGGTCACTGCTAGTAACACAACTACATCATGTCACCTAGCTTCCGGACAAGGTTGTCATATGTTTTAAATGGTTGGAAAATTCGCGAGACCTAGAACTGTTGAAAACCTTCCTCACCTCGTTTCACTACTCATCTCCAATACTGTTCAACACCAGGTTCGACGACGATGTACTCTTCAATTAGACGAAGAACTCCTTTTGGTTATAAGCACGACAAAGCAGGCGCCATTTTGGATGTTTCTTTTTTTAGGTATGTAAGTTATATATGTTACATTATATGTACCAATGCCAAAATGCCTCTTCGTCCCGATCTAAGAACGAGACAGGGTGAGAAGTATGAGTATGAGTATGCTAAGTATAATAGTAAGACCGCTCTCTGGGGCTTAACAAGACTTTAAGTGACAAGGAGTTATATTCCGGTCGTTGAACTCTCTCTACCGTGCCCTGTGTTAGGTTTGATCCCAGGCTGCCGCATACGTAACTGCTGGTCAGAAAGTTTTTGATGACCCTCTTAGTTAAAACCAGTGCAAGAGAATGGGCGTGGTTCAATCTTGATTCGACCCCATTCGGTTCTAAATCAGTAATTGTTGGACTGGACAACCGGGCAGCATGAAAAAACGCTACAAAGTTCTGCCGTAATAGGTCATTGATGATGTGATATTGGAGTTATGAACTGAAATATTATTCAGGAGAGGAACTGAATCCTTCATTTCCCTCATCTTTCAGTTTTCCTTCCCTATCAAGGCCTACACTTTAAATTCCGATGTCTCCCAAATCGTCAGACTAAAAGCCCCTGCTAAGAAGTACACAAGCCAAAATCCAATCATGCATTTTTTAATTTAAGGATATTCTTAAGATTTGCTGTTTCTGAAGAAGTGGATAATAATCCCTTGAATCTTATCTGGGGTGTTTTTGATAAACTTAGCAAAAATAAAATACAAACACTAAACAATCTGTGAAGAAAAACAAAGTACTGATTAAAACATTCACTCATGAAATAACAAGGAAGACAGTCTGTACAAAACTATCACTGAACCGCACAAAGCAAAGAGATACAATTTTATTTTTAGTCACGTATAGTTGTTAACAGCCTGACTTTGAATTAAACATGCACTCCAATTTTGATGGATTTGACTGAAATAGTCAATATGGTTTCTTCCTGGAAAATAAATAGGGTGATATGCTACTTACATAAAATATCAATTTACTTGTATACCGTCAATTTGAATTATCCATCTTAACCATACTTTATTCTGAATCAGGACTCGTTAAACAATTAAATCTATGATGCCACTTCACAACAGACAGCCTTTGTCAGGCTCTTAGAAACTGCAATAATTTTGTTATATCATCAGAGTTGATAATGCACATTGGCCATTGTAGAGAGTGTCTAAAGCTGATTTTTCAAGTATTTGCCTCTTGTCAGAGTAAAAAGAGAAGGAGTAACCCTTGAAACATCAGCTTAGCAAACTCTCTATAGTGGCCAATTTACATTTATTTCTTTAGCAACTCTGTTGGTAAAAGAAAACTACCTTGTAATCCCCCCACCAAAGCAGCAACATAGTTTCTATAGCCCTTTCACTCCCAAGACCTAATTAGTAATTCTCCTTACTATCTGCCATACAATTCTTATGATTTTAGTTCAGAGAATTTGGTATTGGATCAACTAATAATCCCATGATTGATATTCTTCTCTATTCTCATCACCTGCCTGCTTGATATTGTATTGATATTGTAAGGAGAAATTCTGTCTTGGTCACTTGTGGGAATGAAATGGTTAAAAAACCTTACCCCTTTATCTTAGTAACTGCAGTCAACCTAAAAAGAGGGCAAGCAAAGACAGCCTGTATCTGATTTGGAAATTTATTTTTCACCTTGCCCTTCTGCAAAAGGAAAGCCAGTTGTTGTGTTAAAATACATGCCATTTGACTAACTCTCACCAATCAGGCAGAGTGAATGATGATAGTACAAGTTCTTGATGTAAATACACCAATCAAAGGCTAAGTCACGAGATTGTGTACCTTTGAAAAAATTCATGTTGACTACATGTCAAGTTTTTCTAACTTTTCTCCACACCCTTGATATATCTTTGCTCACCAACTTTTTCAGTTATCACAACTAACTGTGAGCTTAGCATGTGCTAGGCAACAGGCCAGTGATTGTTTCCATCTGCTAGCTGACAATAGATAAATCTAATAAACAGATCCATCTAACAAACAGATTGAAGAAATTTAAAATTGTTTCTTGAAACAAGTCACAACATGACTTAGCCTGCATTCACTAATCAAATGAGAGGCTACAAGATCTTTAAAAAGCTGGTTTCTTTCAGAAAAGTATGCCTTTTGCACAAGGATAACTAAGCATAATGATACTATAAAGAAAAGTTACAAGTTCTCACGTCAAGGGGTTAAAGCTTTTAAGGTTTATTCATATCATAAAAAAACTGATGGACATCCATATCTACTCTTGTCTACCTTAAAGCTGACTTAAGTTCATAGTTTTTAACAATGCTTTTAAGTTCAATGCTTTCCTGTGGTACACAGTGGCTTCCTATTGATGTTTTAAGTATTACATCATATAACTGATAGCTACAAGCTCAAGTGTACTGGTATTTACATTCTGAAAATCTGGGTCACTTGCACAATACTCAACTATACATCAAATGAAAACAATCCATAAAACTATCATCTAGTACTCTGTACTGTGGAAAAAAAAACAGCATCTGTAA